GGAATGCCGGGGTTGTGATAGATGTGCGATGATAAGCGAATGCCGTGAAAGCTCTTGAACTAAGGCTGGAAAGTTCCTGCTTTTCTCTAGTTTCCCTCTGTATAATGCTGTATTTTCTTCCTAACTAACATGGCGTACTGGAAAGCAGCAGCAATCTCATGCTAAAGATCGAGAATTCGATTTCACCAGCGAGAAAACCAATTCATCTGCGATTCTTGTCTACGCTTTGATGGTACATGACATGGGGGCAGGATGGTAAGCCAAAACCTTAATTGTCTTCTGCGTAGCTTGCAGAATGAAAAGTCATGGGCAGCCTTGCCAGGTGAGTGCTGCTGCGACTTGATACTACTCGGGCTACTTTCGAGTGCTCCACTTCCCAAAAATAAATTTATGGAGAGGCTCTATTTTTCCAGCTATTTTTTCTCCCTCTGCGTCACTACAAACATGAAAAAAAATTTTTTGAAGCTACAAATAAGCAATTTTAAATTGATATCCTATATAATAAACCACAACAGAATCCAAGTGCTCGTAACGAATTTGTAGAAGCACTTGCAAAGGATTTCAGCAAGTGCTCGCAGTGATCGCCATCTCATCAGGACTAAAAAAACAGGCGAAAACCTTCGCAACTCTCCACTTCCACTGCCAACTGCTCGCATATCAGGGAGGGAAATGCTCATGAAATATGAGCGAAAAAACTCCGACTACTCTAACGTGGCAGTGCTACAGTGGGTATGAAAAAACTGTTTCTGTTGGGTTACTGTTATGCAAGCAGTTTTTTCGACTTTAAGTGCCGTTTTAAACATAAAGTCGACTCGGTTGAAAAAAAAAAACAACTTTTTTAACAGACTACCGCTGAGATAAATAATCCTTTTTACCAACCGCAAGGAGCAAAGTGGCAAAACGAGATGAGGAACGCAACGGCGGGAGAGAGGGGAGAGGGGGAGAGAGGGCCAAGAACAACGATTGGAGGGGGATAAGAAATTGGTAGCTGGCATCGTTTCAAGGGCAAAAAATTTTTTCGGTTGAGTTCAAATCTCTTAAATGGAGCGCGAATTTCGTAGTACTGCCAATGCAAATCTCCAAGCGAGATGATTCCTGGCAAAAGTCAAATGAGACCAGACTGCAGAAAATTCAACAGGTTAACAGCTTTTTCTTTTTTTTTAAGATTTTTCTGTCATTTTTTAT